AGCAGTGCAGAGAGCCTCCGTGACACAGAGAAGAGCAGTCTCAGTTGAATGACCAGTCTTGAAACCTGACTGGTTTGGATCAAGAAGGTCATTCTGAGAGAGATAGCAAGAGAGTTGGCTAAAGAGAGAAAATAGTTTTGGAGAGAAAAGAAAGAAGGGATACTGGTCTGTAGTTGTTGAAATCAGAGGGATCGAGTGTTGGTTTTTTGAGAAGGGGTGCAACTCTCGCTCTCTTGAAGATGGAAGGGACATAGCCAACGGTCAAGGATGTGTTGATGAGCGAGGTGAGGTAAGGGAGAAGGTCACCGGAGATGGTCTGGAGAAGAGGGGAGGGGATAGGGTCAAGCAGGCATGTTGCTGGAGAGAGAGGGGAGAAAGAAGTCAAAGCATAGGGTAGGGCAGTGTGAGCAGGACCAGCAGTATCATTTGACTTAACAAACGAGGATCGGATGTCGTCAACCTTCTTTTCAAAATGGTTGACGAAGTCATCCACAGAGAGGGAGGGGGGGGGGATTCAGCAGGGAGGAGAACGTGGCAAAGAGCTTCTTAGGGTTAGAGGCAGATGCTTGGAATTTAGAGTGGTAGAAAGTGGCTTTAGCAGCAGAAACAGATGAAGAAAATGTAGAGAGGAGGGAGTGAAAAGATGCCAGGTCCGCAGGGAGTCTAGTTTTCCTCCATTTCCGCTCGGCTGCCCGGAGCCCTGTTCTGTGAGCTCGCAATGAGTCATCAAGCCACGGAGCAGGATGGGAGGATGGGGGACATAGAGAGTCAAAGGATGCAGAAAGGGAGGAGAGGAGGGTTGAGGAGGCAGAATCAGGAGATTGGAGGGAGAAGGATTGAGCAGAGGGAAGAGATGATAGGATGGAAGAGGAGAGAGTAGCAGGAGAGACAGAGCGAAGGTTGTGACGGCGCATTACCATCTGAGTAGGGGCAGAGTAAGTAGTGTTGGAGGAGAGCGAGAGAGAAAAGGATACAAAGTAGTGGTCGGAGACATGGAGGGGAGTTGCAGTGAGATTAGTAGAAGAACAGCATCTAGTAAAGATGAGGTCAAGCGTATTGCCTGCCTTGTGAGTAGGGGGGGACGGTGAGAGGGTGAGGTCAAAAGAGGAGAAGAGTGGAAAGAAGGAGGCAGAGAGAAATGAGTCAAAGGTAGACGTAGGGAGGTTGAAGTCACCCAGAACTGTGAGGGGTGAGCCATCCTCAGGAAAGGAACTTATCAAGGCGTCAAGCTCATTGACAAACTCTCCAAGGGAACCTGGAGGGCGATAAATGACAACGATGTTAAGCTTGAATGGGCTAGTGACTGTGACAGCATGGAATTCAAATGAGGAGATAGACAGATGGGTCAGGGGAAAAAGAGAGAATGTCCACTTGGGAGAGATGAGGATTCCTGTGCCACCACCCCGCTGACCAGATGCTCTCGGGGTATGCGAGAACACATGGTCAGACGAGGAGAGAGCAGTAGGAGTAGCAGTGTTTTCAGTGGTAATCCATGTTTCCGTCAGCGCCAAGAAGTCGAGGGACTGGAGGGTAGCATAGGCTGAGATGAACTATGCCTTGTTGGCAGCAGAATGGCAGTTCAAGAGGCTGCCTGAGACCTGGAACTCCACGTGGGTGGTGCATGCAGGGACCACCAGGTTAGAGAGGCAGCAGCCACGCGGTGTGAGGCGTTTGTATAGCCTGTGCGGAGAGGAGAGAACAGGGATAGACAGAGGCATAGTTGACAGGCTACAGAAAATGGCTAAAATAATGCAAAGGAGATCGGAATGAAATGAACTAAACATCTGGGAAAGGAGAGAGCGGGGCCTCCCTCACTTACGTTTCACTGAAACACCCTAATATAAAACTCTCTAAACTTCCACCTTAGAAACTATACTTGTTGTAAACTACAGCGGTTCAATGTTTTCTAGGAATAGACTAACTTAGTTTATTCAGCTAGCTAACTTGGTACAGTATTCTTCCGTGAATATCGTCCAGGGCACCTAGTCATATGACGCCACAGCCAACCAGCATGCCGGACTCCAACAACACGGTTTAGCACCAATACTCGGCCACAACAAACCCCCAGTGTGTCAACACGCCAAGCAGATCATTTGTGTCCGTGTCTAACGTTGTGGGTTAGTCCCGACAGCTTGAGCGAGTCCGTCGTCAACTTATTCAGCCAGTTAGTTAGCTAGAATAGTTAGCATACTAGCTAGCCATTGCTTTCAGACAGCGAAGCAACCCCTCCTCCCACGGCACGAACACACAGAGAGAGCCAAGCTAACGTTAACTAGTCACCCATGTCCCGAATTCCCTTGAACGACTCTGGCTACCAGTATGTAAAAACAAAACACAAATGTAGGTTATAACTTACCCCTAGCCGCTACTGTTAGCTAGCCAAGTGCAAAGCTAGCCACTGAATTGACTCAGCCAGTTCGCGAGTATCTGGAGCATTAGCAATTGTGGATTCGATTACAGGCTCAAAATGGACAGAAATAAAGATCTTTCTTCTGAAAGTCAGTCTATTCTTGTTCTGAGAAATTCCAGCTGTGCACTACTCCCTTCACTGAACAGCGCAAACTGGCTCTAACCAGAATAGAAAGAGGAGTGGGAGGCCCCGGTGCACAGCTGAGCAAGAGGACAAATACATTAGAGTGTCTAATTTGAGAAACAGACACCTCACAGGTCCTCAACTGGCAGCTTCATTAAATAGTACCCGCAAAACACCAGTCTCAACGTCAACAGTGAAGAGGCGACTCCAGGATGCTGACCTTCTAGGCAGAGTTGCAAAGAAAAAGCCATATCTCAGACTGGCCAATAAAAAGAAAAGATTAAGATGGTCAGTCTGAGATATGGCTTTGCACATGGTGATCTTAGGCATTTGTGTGGCTGCTCGGCCATGGAAACCCATTTCATGAAGCTCCCGACGGACAGTTCTTGTGCTGACGTTGCTTCCAGAGGCAGTCTCGTTCTTTGAGCTTGTGTGTCCTACCACTTCGCAGCTGAGCCGTTGTTGCTCCTAGACATTTTCACTTCACAATAACAGCACTTACAGTTGACCGGGGCAGCTCTAGCAGGGCAGAAAAACTGACTTGTTGGAAAGGTGGCATCCTATGACAGTGCCACATTGAAAGTCACTGAGCTCTTCAGTATTGGCAATTCTACTGCCAATGGTTGTCTATGGAGATTGCATGGCTGAGTGCTGGATTTTATACACCTCTCAGCAACAGGTGTGGCTGAAATAGCCAAATCCACTCATTTGAAGGAGTGTCCACATGCTTTTGGTGATGTAGTGGATCTTGGGCAAATATTGGTTGATCTAAGCATTGTTTTGCCAGGCTAATTTGGGTCATCTTTCTGGTGGACAAGTCTACTGATAACCTAATCAAATACCATATAATTCTGGGTCATATATCATACAGTTCAGGTAGGCCTCTGTGCTTCAGTAAACAAAGGAAAATAGGAGGGGTGCTCAATAACAGTGTAATATAGAATAAATCCCCACACACTGATGAATGTGCAGGTTGATGTTTATTGTCATGAATCTTGCCTTGGAGGACTGAGCGATTTCCGCTAGATGGGCCAGCTGCAAAGTCAAAATTGGCTATATTGTAAAATTTGATGAAAAAATTGCTTTTTGGACTTAATTTAAGGTTAGGGTTAGCCATTAGGGTCAGCAGTGTGGTCAAGGTTAGGGTTAAGGTTAGGGCTAGGTTTAAAATAGGATTTTATGACTTTGTGGCTGTTCCAGCTTGTGAACACTTTGCAGAGCTGTCTCCATGTCACGATCGTCATTTGAAGAAACGGGCCAAGGCGCAGCGTGGAATGGCGTACATCTTTTATTAGAGTACTTACACAACGAACAAAAACGACAAAAACGAAACGTGAAGTCCTCGGTTTTAACAAACAAACCAACACGGAACAAGATACCACAACCACACAAATGCCAAACGACTACCTAAGTATGGTTCCCAATCAGAGACAAACAAGCAACAGCTGATTCACGTTGCCTCTGATTGAGAACCACCCCGGCCAACATAGAAACACAAAACATAGAAACTAACACCCTGGCTCAACATTAAAGAGTCCCCAGAGCCAGGGCGTGACACTCCAGGGCAAGATTCATGACAATAAACGTTGCAAAATGAAACAACTGTGGCAATCATCAGTGTGCAGATATCTTTTCATTATTTCATAAATACATTTTTTATACCCAGCACCTACAAGTCAATGGATGTGTGTACGCTACATTTGAAATGAGTGCTCAACAAGGACAGGAATTCAAAAAAAGGGCTCACCCAAGAATAAATATATTTTTAGAATGCTTAGGCTTCGTTCCATGAGCTGGACAGAACAGGTATACTGATGTGTAATTCACACTTTCTGTTTGAAAAGGAAACTCTAGCACACCTGCATTTTTTTGTCAAAATACCACCATGAATGTTTAGTACAAGATCCATTAAACACATTGTGGAGCATTTTTAAAACACTGAGGGCAACATTTCCCACCTGTCAGGTGTCTTTGCTAGAGAAAATGTTTACCAATTTATTTCTATATTTTTTACCAATTCTGCAAAGGTTATTTATTTCAATAATACCCCTTTAGCCAGGTGTGTCATTGTTAATAACTTCCATAGTACTGATAGCTATCTGCATTAACAAACATTGATATTGGAGCATTGCCAAAACTTAACATATAAGTACCTCAAGGAAGCAAACATTCACCAGATCCTCACTGAGACCTCACTACAACAGACATGATGTACCAGGCTTTTCTGCTGACGATCCCTCTACTGATGGCGTTTCAGACTCAAACACTTCACCGCTTGATTCTGTAAAAACGATTGAGCAGCCAAGACCTCCAAAAGTTAGCTTGAAACCGTCTTGATGAGCTAAGAAATAGGGCTAATTTCATTGGCAGAAGCTGCAAGGAAGTTAAGGACAGATATGGTCAAGCTGAGGACGGTCTGTACTACCTAACCACAGCTACTGGGTGGTGTACCAGACCTTCTTGCGACATGACCACAGCGGGCGGCGGCTGGACTCTGGTGGCAAGCGTGCACGAGGACAACATCTACGGGAAATGCACGGTGGGCGATCGTTGGACCAGCCAGCATGGCAACAACGCCAACCTGGCCACAAGGGAAGGCAACTGGGCTAACAGGAAGACTTTTCGGAACATGGAGGGAGCCACAGACGATGACTTTCAAGAATCCTGGCTACTACGACATAGATGGCAGAAGACATGTCAGTCTGGCACGTTCCCAACAACACGCCCTTTTACCACTGGAACCTGGCTGCCATCATGCGCTACCACACTGACAGGCGCTTCCCTCCATCTGTAACGGGGGAAACCTGTACAACCTCTTCCACCGCTACCCGGTCGAGTACAATGTTGGAAAACACATGTCCGACAATGGACCCTCCATTCCATAGTGTATGACCTCGGGGACAAAGAGTCCACCCAAAATGTTCTAATGGCCCTAACACTAGAGGGAGACTGAGGGAGGCTTCATCAGTTTCAGAGCCATAAACCATGAACGGGCGGCCACAGCCATCTGCTCTGGGGTCAAACCCAAAAGTGGTAATGTTGAACACTACTGTATTGGAGGAGGTGGGTTTTTCCCTGAGGGTAACCCTCTTCAGTGTGGGGATTTCACTGGCTTTGCCTGGAATGGCTATGGGACCCATATAGGCTTTAGTGCATCAAAACAGATGCTTAAGTCAGCGGTGTTACTCTTTTACCGCTAATTCACCATGCATTTACTTTTCTTTATTGTATGATAGATAGATTTTGAAATGAAAAGTACATTTAGGAAATTTTGGTAATACCTTTTATCATTATTATCTATTCATTCCATTACTATAAAGAAATAGCATAAAGCAATAACTCTTCCATAAATCATAAAAATATTTGCGTCTCATACAATCATTAAATTTGTATAGCTGATAGTGACAAATATTATTATGTCATGTGAGGCTCTTAATAACTGAATTACTGTAAGGTTACTGTAAACCACTTTGTGACACCTGTTGTGTTGTGGTGATGGGGGTTGGAAATTGAGTTTATGGATTGTGTGTGTTTGTTTGAACTTTCTTCCTGCAACAATAAACTAGTCTAGAGATCTGAGAGCATGAAATGAGCCTACTGTACTTTTCATTACTTATTTTTTTACGTGGGTGGGAGTTGGGGGGGGGGGGGGGGTTGAGATGAACTTACTCCTCCAAATGTGTCTATCTAGAGAGTGATGGAGAGGACATATTATGAGAGGGAGAGAGAGAGACTTTGACTTTGTCTTTCTTTAATAATACATTTCATTAAAACCTCACCTCCCCTTAAAATAAAAAAAATTGCCCTCTACCCCCACGATACAAAACAACACCACACATCACAATAACCCAAACCTCACCACTTCTACAACCGTATATCATGACCATCTTCCCCAGCTATACAGACAGCCCCCCAACACACCATATCTCTTGAAACATCTCCACACTCTTTATCATTTTATAGAACTCAAATTCCACCCTAAGGCGTGCAGAGACCATCCCATTAAATAATAGTAAAGGGTCTGTTATCCCCCCCACCTTTGACCCTGTTCCTCCTGTGTTAGCCAAATAGCCACTTTGGCCTGAGCAACAGAAAATTTAACAACACACATTTGGTCTTTCCCTTATTTGAATACCTGTACCCCATTATAAACACCCTGACAGTAAACTCCACCCCCAACCTCTCACACAGACATTCCAACAGAGACATTAAAGGCATTAACCTGGCGCACACAGAAAACACATGAATCACAGTGTCACTCATGACACCGAAAGGACACCCCTGTCCGACTCCCGGTTCAAACCCGTGCCAACCAGCTGTTAGTGGCCAGGGCTCCATGTAGAACCCTCCACTGAAGGTCCCCTGACCTCTTTGGTAACTGGGAGTTTTGTAGAGCCCCATCTAAACCCAACATACGCTCCGCCCCACATACCCCCCTGCCACTGATGTGCCTTCACTCCTGTTAGGCTCCTAATGTTCCTTACCTTAATACAGAGGTTGTATAGGGCTTTACCCTCCCACCCCTTCAAACTCCCCCAGGCTCGGAATGTTAAAATTTAACAAGTCCTCGCCAGACCCCTTGCCAGTCCCCAGTCCTCTGACCGTCACCTGCAGTGGCGGAAACATTGGTGGCCCCTCCCCCTTTGGCCACTCAAACACCCCCTTAATAACCGGCTCAGACAGTGCCTCCTGGAATTCCTCAGGAATCTCTCCAGCAGCCTAAGAGATGTTAGTCCTGTTTGTTGTGCTAGGAGGTCTTGGGGTTTTCCACCCCTCCTCCCCCCAGCAGCCGCAGGTCCCCCAGCCTTAGTAAGTCCCGCTGCCATCAGTCGCCTCTGCAGGTGGCCGACTGAACCGATCTCAAAAGGATGGCTGGGTTGTGGAAGATAGGCTCCTCCCCACACCACAGCCCCAGGCTCCTACCACTCCTTCTCGTGTGGGCCTTAGTAGCTGCTAGGCCCTCAGCACCGCAGAGTAAAAATCAGAGAGACCTGCTGTACTCAGCCCCTCCAGCCTCATGAGGAATAGCTGCCAGTCCAACCCCAATCCACAGCTATCCTCAGCAAGCGCGCATAAATCTTATAACCATTACAAACCTCCATCCACCTCAGTATGGTACAGCAGTCCCTCTAGCGGAACAAAACCAGCCGCAGTCGGAATGGAGCCACCCTGCTCGCCATTCCACCGGCCCTGTCCTCGCTTCGTGGACGACATATACAACCCTGCCGCCCTCAGCCACTGAGGGCCCGACCAGAAAAAACCAAATCCACCAGCTGCGTTGGGCAGTCTGCGAGCGACGCAGCGGGTGTGTTTGAAGAACCAGTTTATGCCATAGGGAAGATGCCACCAGGTTGTTGATTATCAGCAGCACCATCCCTCTATATGACACTTGGGACAGGAACCACTCCGACCTGGCCATCTTGCACCACTGCCTGTGACAGCCCTCCCATTTCTTCCTGACCACCTTTTTTCGAGCCCCAGTACACCCCCAAAATGTTAAGAGCCCTTCAAACCCCACTGCACCCCCTGGAGCAAGGAGGGCCCTATCCCCCCCTGCCCCACATAACAGAGCTTTGCTCTTGCCCCATTTACCTTATCTGACGAATCTCCTCGTACAACCTTCAGACCTAGTCGCGAGTGGCCTGCATATCCTGACCATCCCCTACCAATCACAAGAACGTCATCTGCACACCTGACCCTGCTATGGCCTGCACCACACCCATGCCTGCCCAACAAGAGTGCGTCAATGGCTAGGGTATATAACGGCCCTGAGAGGGGCATCCTTGTCTAATGCCCCGCCTCCCCAGCTGGCCGACTGAGCACGGCCCTCCCCCTTGACCATACAGATCCCACAGCATACAACATCTTCACCAGGCCAAAAACCTTCCTTTTCCCCAACCCAAACACAGACATCACATTAAACAGCTATCATGGTCCACTCCGCAAAACCTCTCTTGATCTAAAGAGACCAGCCAAAGTTCACAATTAGAACCTCTTTTTGACAAGTCCAACATGTCCCTGATTAAGAACAAGTTGTCCGTGATTGATCTTCCTGGTACTCAATATGTCTGGTCTTGTGTACTATAGAGTCCAGTGGAACTTCAGTCCTTTTAGCGGAGACCTTGGCACATAATTGTAGTCCACAAGCAGAGCAATGCCACAGCCTCCCGTTTTTGAAGTTCCACAAGTCCCCTTTTTTGGGCGGAGAGTCAGAGGCCGACCGACGGCAGCTCATTAGCAACTCCCTACCCCGACGCACCACACAACAACGCAAAAGATCCAGTCCAATTATTCCCCAGAATTTTTAATGAAACTCCCCTGGTAATCCATCGACCCCCAGTGCATCGCGGGGGACATCTGGTCAACGCCTCTGCAGTTCATGGGACAACAGGGAATTCATTTCACGTCCCCTCATGTCACCAGAGAGAGCGTAGGGAGTTCGCAATAAAAACGAGCACACATAGGATCACAGTTTCGGCCCTATACAAACTCATATAAAACTCCACAGTCCACTCCCGCTCTCCCCCACCACAGCAACCCTTGGCTTCACTGCGCTTTCTTTCCAAACCAAAGAAGACGGAGCTGGGAGTCATTCATCCCTTGATCATGTGAGAACCTGAGCTCTTACAAGGCCGTTCCCGTTGCTTACCTGGAAACACTTCCCAGGTCCCTACTTAGTTCTGCCGAAATAGCCTGGAGGCCTACATTGCCCTTGCCCCACCAGCTCTCCCTCCATCTCACTAATACACTATCGCTCAAGTTTCCCCCAATACCCTCCTAGCCTCTGAGGGATAGGAGCGGTATAAACTGTTGACAGAAAACTGATATGGACTTTTCCCACATCCCCCCATTGACTCAGAAACTCATACGCCTCTTTCCTGCAGTCCCCATCGATCAAGCCCGGGCTGCACTCACCCTAGCCCCAAAGACCTTCACCCATTTATACTGTCTTGTTTGGATTGTCATGTTTACAGACTACCCGATACAAAAAGGACTCACCCCTGCACTACACATTTGTGCCAGGCTCAGCCATACTTGCCCCTTTCCACTAGAGCCCCCAAATCAACTTCTTCACACCACATCACTATAAGTCCTCCTGCAGAACACCCCTGTACTTTTTTGTTTTACATATTCACCCATCACTCCTCTTTCCCTTCCCCGCATCTCGCGCCATTATATTAACGAGCCTACCCAAGAGCTCCATAAGAGTGGTGAAAGCCAGCAAATAACGAACCAATACCAAGCGCAACAGCCCAGTGGGCCAGAATAACATTCATCTAAACAGTGTCTGAAGGTAGACCTTTACGCACAGTTGTGACCCCTTCCTCCGCACCTAACCGTTTTTCCCTGTGGTGAGAGGACACCATGCCCTCATTTTTCATAGCAATGGTTGGTACTGATCTAAAACTTTCTGGATCACAAAACAAAGCCTAAAGATTAACTTTTTTCCCCTTAGTCTCAGTCAGGATTCTTGACCGTTCCTTCATTCACCGTGTACTTTCTGACCCTCATACTACCACATCGTCGACATGCCAAAATCTCAGCTCTGGACCCTTGAGGAGGAGCGGAAACAATAAAACTCACAATCCGCATCACACATCATTCTGAACCTTAAAAAATACTTACCTCCACGAATCCCTAAAACCAAATAACCCATTCCTCATCTCCTCTCTACAACCGACCACCTGCAATTCTCTCATTCAAGGGCCCCACCACCAGCAACCACATAAGCAAAGGTTCCTTGGTTTCCTGTCAACCACACCAACACACCCAGCCTCTCCCCTCCTCCCCTTC